TTCTAAAAAACCGTGCCAGGACCTTGTAGAGAATTCATTCAAGTTTCTGAAACCCACCGTCGATTTTCTGTGCAACCATTGGTTTCTGATATATCGATGAACAAAGAGAAAATGATCCATTTTCATTCAAAGTCCGATAGCTCAGCGAGAAATGATCGTATCGAGACCAAAAACAAAAGAAATTGAAGCTAAATGAACAACCTATCTAATCCGTAAGGTGGTTAAGTTGGGAAAATTTTTTTCAAGTCCGTACACCAAAAATAGGATCGGAAAAAATTTCGAAAAATTTTTTTTCATGATATTCATTAAGATTGCGCGATACGTGTTACTTGAAAAAATTTTTTTTGCAAGATCCAAAAATTAGAAACTTCAAGCTTCAAATTGCTTTTTTTAACTCCAATACGACCATTTTTATCAAAGATGCCATTTGAAAAATCGCTGAAAATTTAGACTTTTTTTTGATCCCTTAATTTTTTCCATTAGTTTATTCAACGCCGCTTCTTCTCTAGATAAATGTTCAATTCTTACCTTCTATTTCATTTGTTCCCGTTAAGAACTGCACCACTTTGTTTTCACCATCGGTGTAATTGAATATGTAGTGGTATACTGGAGATTTCGTTACATTGGCTTGTAGTTTAACTGATAATTCTGCAGGAACAGCGAAAAACCTGTCAGTGATAATCTACGTGCAAATAAAAACAAAATAAATAAATTTTGTTTCACAAATTGAGGAAATATACCTGTGTGAATTTCTTGAAATTCTTCTTATCGATTTTTTCTCCTGGTCCCAAATAGTAGTCTAAAACTGCCTTCGCTACTGTTTCCCTCTCCGATACAGGTAACGTCTCGTTGTAATCTAGCATATAGGGAGATATTTCTACCCACTTTTCGTCTACCTCTTCCAACTTTTGCCAAAGAACTAAAGAATTATATAATATGAATTACTTTTCATAAACAGTTTTGTATTACCGAATCATTGTAAGGAATAAGAAAAAAGAAAGGAAGGCTACTATACAGCCTGACTCACATCCTGTAAGAAGCAATCCTTCATCAGCAGTGTTGGATGCAATCCAAGGCAAATCGTTGACTTTACCTTCCTTCAAAAGGTGGTAAGGTTCCGCGTCTAGAAAAGCGTTTGTTGATCCTTTTTCCACCACTGGTGCAAAAGGCGCGATTGGCACGATGTCGTAACCACGGAAATATTTCAATTGCTTCAGCAAATCTTCCGCTGGTGTCTGCTTAAGGCACTTCTTCAGTTCTTCAGAGGGGCTGTCGGGACAGCCCACCAACACAGCAAGTTTCTTGGCACTTTGCAAGGCGTTCTTCCTGATTACCCAAGGTCCTAGGGCTGAGCCGCTTTGCGACATCCCTCTGACGAATAAACCTTTCGAGAGGGGGGAGAAGTAGTGGAGGTGGACGCTGGCGCCTCCCGCTGACAAGCCCAATATGGTAACGGATTCGGGGTTTCCCCCAAACGAAGCGATGTTGTCCCTGACCCACTCGAGTGCTAAGACTTGGTCCTTCAGGCCGTTGTTTCCGGGTATGACGTCATCTTCCGTGCTAAGGAATCCTGTAACATTAATTGAATAAACACTGACATGGGAAGACAGTGTTAAAGAAACAACGTACCTAGAATACCAACACGGTAATTCATAGATACAAGCACCACCTCCTTGTCTAGGAACGTATTCAAATCCGTGTTTCCGCTGCCTCCCATAAAGGCACCCCCATGGATTGAAACTATAACGTCAAGGGCCTTGGGGTTCTTCACGGTATCTTCAGGGATATACACGTTTAAGTAGAGACAATCTTCGGCTCCTAAAAAAGTACAAACACTTTCATCAATGACGATGATATTGTAAGAAGTAAATGCTTAAAAGCATATAAAAATAATATTTCTTCGTTCTTTAAAAGAAGCGTAATTAGGTTTCAAGGTGTTGATGCTTTATACTGACCAGATAAAAAGTCAATATTGGAAAGCAATTGACCTTGGAGACATGACAAAGGAGCGTTGGCCACCCAAGTTCCTGACCAAGCTGGAATGGGTTCAGGTGCCTACAAATGTGTAAAGAAGCAATTACGGTTACGTTCGACATTTAATACAAATGAGAACATTTTGACCCACCTCAAACTTAAGATCTCCTACTGGTGGTTTTGCGTACGGGATTCCCTCAAAAGCAGCATAAGTTATACCATCCAATGTCTTCCAATATCCTTGAACTCTGCCCAAAGGCGTGTCAATCTCTGGTAGATCATCCTGACTTGAACAAACTAGCAACGAGTTAAATTAAAATATGTAAATTAAACCGTCTTTCTTGACTGATCATAATTTACACTACAAAGACAATAACATAATGAAAAGCGGGGCATTAGTATTTTTTTAATGTGGACAACATCCATCCTTGAACGACTAATTATCAATTATCACGAAACAATTTCTGTTTACCAATGACTTGCGATTATATTACAGCTTCTTGTAATAATTTAATTAATAAGTATTTTTTCTAAAGTAAATTTTACAGCGAGAGATGAAAATGAATAGAAAATGTATTCTTTCTCGAGCAGAAATTGCTACTTTATCTACAGGGTGTCCTAGAAATAAATGCTAAAATGTTTGTCATTTATTTAAGTCATCAACAGCAACGACTTTTATCTGATATTTACTTTCGAAAACCTCTTGGTTTTGACATAATGTAGTTTTTTAAAAGTTTAAATTTTTGTTACACACAACTATACCATACATCGAAACACTTAGTTGTGGGTAATAGTGAACAAAGGGGAGCAAAACAATAGCTAATAAGGTAGTTCAAGAATTTGCTATTTAGAAAAAAATTATTAAACAACAATAGTTGTTTTTAACGAGTTATACAGTGTGATATGATTCTAGGTATTAAAATAATAACAGTATGTAATAAAAATTATTTTCGAATTGTCAATTGTTTAAGTTACAGTTTGTCAAAGTTCATTTTTTTATTTTCCTTTTTAAATAACTTATTCAATTCAAATTCGATTAGTCTCTCATTTGATACACCCACTAAATAGATCAAGCTCCATTGGACCGGTCAGATAAAACTTTCATAATGAACCGCTAGATGGCACTTACCTAGAACTCAAAATTTGTTTTGTTCATAACTTTTTTCCCTTGCTAGACATCGCAGAAATTTAAACAATATTGAAAAGAGAAACATTATCAGAAAAAAATATGTACTCTTTATTCAAGCCGATAAATGTAACCATTTGGCAGGAAATCGTTATTAAAGTTTTAATGAACATCAAACTTTTGATAATTCTGTAATTAATCAAGGTGCCATGCTTCAAATAAATGTCATTAGTAATTATGATGTTGCGAATTGTAACGAAAATTGTTTAAAGGAAGTATAAGCTGAATTTTTCACTATAATAATTTTTTTTCGGCTTTGTAATAGCATTGTAGAAAACTAAGACGAGGATAATGAATTTACTAATAATATTTTATTTACTAAAGCTGGTTTTACAAGAGATTGTATTACAATTAACATAATGCACATAATAATCATAATAATAATATCAATCCTATTTTATCATAACAAATGTTCGTAAAGACCTCCATTCGGTTCAATACATTTTCTGATACGTGAAACAATATCGGTGTTTTGAATCGTATAAGACGATCATTTTTAAAACGTATCAGAAAATGTATTGAAGCAAATGGAGGTCATTATGAACATTTGTTATGACAAAATATGATTGAAAATCTGTTATAGTTTGTTATTTTATTTAATATCTGTTTTCCATTATTATTATGTGCATAATGATAATTTGTAATACCACCTCTTGTAAAACTAGCTTTAGTAAATCAAATATTATATACAGGGTAGGAAAGTACCGATGGTCTATCTGAAGTTACGTGAGAGCGATAAAGTAAGCCATAGAAATCCATGCGATAGAGAAGGATGGCTATAATGAAGGCTTCTCTTAGTCACCGCCCATTTCGCCCTTCCACAAATAAGATCCACTTCTTATTTGTGGAAGGGCGAAATGGGCGTTGACTATTAGACGCCTTCATTATAGCCATCTTTGTCTATCACATGGATTTCTATGGCTTACTTTATCGCTCTCACGTAACATCTGATAGACCATCGGTACTTTCCTACACTGTATTAAAATTATAAAATCTAAGTAAACATACACATGGCAACTTGATTAATTATATAATGAATTATTATCAAAAATATGATTTTTAATAAAACTTTAATAGCGCTTTCCTACTAAACGGCTATATTTATTGACTTGAACAAAGAGTACATAATTTTTTCTGATATTGTTTCTCTTTTCAATAATGTTTAAAATTCTGGGACGTTTAGCAGCGAAAAAAAGTTATGAACAAAACAAATTTTGAGTTCTAAGTAAAGTGCCCTCTAGCGGTGCATAATGAAAGTTTTCTTTGACCGGTCCAATGGTGCTTGATCTACTTAGTGGGTGTATCAAATGAGAGACTAGTCGAATTTGAATTAAATAAATTATTTAAAAAGAAAAATAAAAAAAATTTACTTTGACAAACTAACTTGCAAACAATTGACAATTCGAAAATACCTTTCGGAGTTTCCTGACGGACTTTCGAAACACCCCGTATGTGTGATTAAAATTTCTCTTATTTCTCTTATTAACGGAACATCCTCTATAATTTTATGTAAAGCGAACTGTTTTTTGCAAATTATTTTGTTTTAGTCACTCCTATAGTGGTCATTATTTAAAAAATATACATAATTGTTAAAAAATATAAAAATAAATACAGAAAAATATATAAGTAATATAATAAATGTTAAAGATCTAGGCTAGACAAATAAGTGTAGTTACTTACAGCTGTTCCCAAACGAGAGAACAAACAACAGACAACCCAATTTGGACAACATTTCGAGCTGGACTATCCTGAGTCAGAAAACTGACAGATATATATACCTACTACTTATCTTGTTTATCACAGTTACAAGGGTGGAACTGGCGTGATCCGAGTGAAATAGTGGAGGTGGACGCTAGCGTCACTTGCTGATAGGCCAACTGTGGCAATGGAGTGGGGTTGGGGGTTTCCACTAAGCGATGTTGTCCTGTCCTATTCGAGGGATAAGACTTGATCCTTGATCTAGCATGCCACTGTTGCTGGGTATGACGCAGTGGCAGCTCGTGGCATTGTGAATACGTGAGGTCCGTGGCTTTTTTACTAGGTGGGCAAATTTTTTTAAATTTTTATAGAAAAACTGATGTTCACGAGCAGGATTTTCTTTCGGATTTCAAATGATATAAAACTGTTGCTATGTGACTCTTTAATTTTGTCTTACCTAGCTTATTGTTGTGTTGTTTTGGCCAGCCTTAACGAAAAAAGACAAAAACACTACAAAAAATTCAAAATGGTTGTTTACGATTCTCGTTCAACCTGCGGAAATACGAACGCGTGTCTCCAGTCCTTTTGCAATCAAAATGGTTTAATTTGGAGGAAGGGTTAATTTATCACCTATCTTGCCTTCTTTTTCAGATTAATGATACAGATTTACCCTCTTATTTATACGAAAAGCTTATTAGAGGTTGTGATACTCATAATATGCTAACTCTTGTTAAGTTTAATTATTTTATGTTGTCTACTTATATTTATTAATAACTGTTGGTTACGTGGAAGAGCGGCATTTAGTCGAACGTCGCCATTTTTTGATATTTTGATATTTTGATGTCTTTTTCTTGTATTTGCGATATGCAATTTATCTTATCAAAAATAAAGGCATTATTATTATTATTATTTTATAAAAAATTATACGCAACTATTTGGATATAATCCGCCCTCAAATAATAAAAAGGAATAAATTTCCACGTCATTTTTTATTGTGGAGATCTTCTATAACTGTAAGAAACAAATTTTCATAAGGTAGCCAGCCAACATATAAAACAACGCCCGCTGCCAGCTTTTCGTTTGCCTCCACTTTTAACAAAATATTTTAAAAACATACTTAGTGAATGTTTTTATCAAACGGTATATTCGTCCGTTTTTTAAATTTGGAAATGAACTTCACTGATAAGTTGTTTAAGAGCTCTTGTGTCATCGTATTTTTAAGTCTCAATGCGCTCAAGACACAAACAGTTTTTTTCTACCGAGACACTTGTTGCAGGAACTGTTAAAACTAGACAAAATATTTTGTATGTCTCTGAAAATACCATTTTAAATTCCTTGTATAATATTTCTACAGTTTTTTGAACTTGAAATTACGAAATTGTTCGTCTCTGTATAAAATATTAACTTCGTTTTTCTACCTATCTATTTCAAAAATGATTAGATACGTTTGTAATAAAATAAACATTCAAACGATTTTTCGGGAAATTTGTTTGCATATTCGGAAAATTTTGAGGAATTTACTAAAGCAAGAAATTTAAATCATGTAAATTCCCAAAACGAGTAGCTACTTAATTAAAGGGAAATATATTTCGAAATTATTTCTTGTTCGTCGCAACTTTTGCCCCGTTTACTTAGTAGTCCGTGAATATTTTTCGCAAAATTAAAAATATCTTTAAATTTTTCTTCGTTTCTTAATTCCGAAATTCTTTGACTAGCGATTTTAATTTGTTTAGAGCCGTATTACGTCTTGAAATAGTCGTTTCAGGAGTTAAACAATATCGTGAGAGATTATTTTACAAGTGGATATAATCTAATACTTAAAGGACCTATCTATCTATCTGGAATTTCCGTTAAGTACATATTTGGATAAGTAGATCAGTCATTATTAATTACTATATTAATAATTTTACAGGCTATTATTATGAAAGAAATATTGAAAAATATGTGCAGTAAAAAAATTCTATTAGATATGTATTCAATATATAGCATATATGAGAATTAAACTATTACTTGAAGTAATAAATATATCATTGAAATCATGTAAATATAATTCATTCTATATACACTAGCGGAAAAAATTAAGGGATCAAAAAAAAATCTAAATTTTCGGCGATTTTGCAAATGGCAGTATCTTTGATAAAAATGGAGTATAATTTCAAACGCTTTATGCAATAAGAATGTAAAAAAAAATCAGGAAAAAAATGTTTTTTTCATTTTTTTTTACAGATTATGAGCATTTAAAAGCAAAAAAACGTGATCCTTTAATTTTTTTAAAAATTCAATCGAATGAAACAAAAAAACGGCTTGATGGATCGAATTGAAACTCTGTAGGGCTTTTAGGGGTACAATGACTTGTAAAAGGCATACTTAACATTAGTCATTTTCCCAATATTCTCAATGTGG